GACCGCGCAGATTCAGGTGAAGCTTCTCGCGGAATGCGGTTCCATCTGGGGATTTCAACCACGTGCAAAACCCGGATCTGAGCCTACAGCCAACTCCCTCCACCACTAGCCCAGCTGATAGGCCCGCCACGTCGTCAGTCTGGTCCGGCTTATTGGAGCATGAGCGTGTTTGTTCCAGGTAGGGTATGAGTATGGTGGTGTCATGGGGACTCATTTGCGATATCAATGAGCCAGGTAATCCTTTCTGTAAGAGTCAGCAACTGGCCCATCACGCGAGAAGGAAGTCATACTAGGATTCTTAATGGTAAAATATGAAAGTATCTCAGGTCCTCGACGCCTGGGAGATCGTATGAAGCCTCGATAGCCGCGGTAGCAACGTCTATTCCGCCAATGTGTAGATGTTCTTGGATGGTCCCGCATAGCAGCAAGTTCATGGAATAAGGAACGGCTGAGTCGAAATGGGTGAACGATGCTTGTCCCAAGTTGGCGCCGCCCACAGACTCCAGAATGATATGGAGAAGGGAGCAACAATGAAGCTCACTGAAGTCCTCGCATAATGGAGCAAGAGCTCTGTTCTGAAGCGACAGATAGACATTCTCTTCAAGAATTGGTATAGCGATCATGTTACTATCGAGCAGCTTCCTGCATATAGCGAGGACTCCATAGAAGCGGCAGCAGGCCTCAAGTGAGGATCTCTGCTCACAGTCAGGATCAGCCGGCTCAAAGGAGTGTGCTTTCGGCCTTAGTGTTCTCACCCAGAGACGGTATGCCAGCATTGCCCACTTCATTGGCGTAGCTAAGCATTGTGAACGTCTTTCAAGAAACGATGTAAGCGCGGGAACCTGTTCGGTGGCAACACTCTTGAAAACTCCGCGGATAAAACAAGCTCGCGCCAGCATCACTGCTCTGTCATGACCCAGCTCTAGAACGTCGGCAGGATGAGGTACGAAGAGCTCGTATTGCAAATTCATCTCAAAATGGACCTTTTTGAGATGGATAAATTGGAGCAGCTCCGGCGGGGCAGCGACCTCCCAGTATTTGCGGTCGGCCGTAGGGCCAATGACAAAGAACTGTTCATGGGCGAGTGCAGAAATGAGATCCTGAGCAGAGTTGAAATATAATTGAGGCACGTAAATAGGAACAAGAGCATGAGAAGCCATGTGTTCACTCTTCAACATAACCAGCTTGTTCTCGAATTTCGAAGTATCCTCGAGATACGCTCATGAAACATTGCTAGGCGATGTATCTATGTGAAGTCGTTGCAAACAAGCCTGGCCAAGAATATTGCTCAAGTCTGATAACCAGTTCTCTGAACATCAAGGTAATGATCACTTGCGAAACATGAAAAAGAAAGTGTGCCCATAGCAAAGCAGGCGTGAAAGAGAAAAATGTCCTGGGACGAGGGCGACGGAGGGGTAGTTCCAACAGCTAGCGCCCTACAGTGCTCAAGCAGCTCAAATCCTGGCGCCCAGGCAACTCCGCTGTCAAAAATATCCGGGGACATGACTGGTAGCGCGCAAAGTACCTGCAGCTACCAAAGAGCGCCGCCCCTTCAATAGTCAAGGCACGCCTGCGTGGTTGAATCCTGGTCGGTCGCCTCCAGATGAGACCGCTCCAGCAGGAATTCCTACGTCTCTGCATGGAGACCACAGTTTGCAGGTGGTTGGGGGAGACGTGGTTTGTACACATCTTGGAGAGGCACACCGGCGCGGCTCTGTCCGTAAGACGAAGTCTGCTGCGACCCACCATGCTCCTGTTCAGTGCACCGACAAGGATGGAAAGAGCACACCCACAGGATCTTTGGGACGAATTGAAGTGCAGGAGCGCAGGCACACGCCTCCCTGGTCCTCTACCTATGCTTGTGTAGGTACTCCGTACTGCACGGATACTTCACCTAACTGGAGGGGGCGTGTCTGGGTTACATTTTCATCATGGGAGAGACTTTGATTCGGGTTGTAACTAACCTCGCGTGCCCCGCCTTCCCCCCCTTGTTACTCTGATGACAAACCCCGCTAGATATGCAGCCTCCATGGATGATGAATAGCTTTCCTCAAGCATTCGATCCCCTGCCTGGAGTTATTATGTCGTATGATTCTCGGCTCGCCGTGTAGTGTAAAGCAGGAGAGTCGAAGTCAGGATGGCTCAAAGGGCCGTTGGCGCTTATAAGATGAAGAAGGAGCATCGAGCTAAGACCTGAAAGCGTGGGTTCAAAAACTGTGCCGCAGATCTTGTTCTCATTGGCACAGGGTGTAAAGCTGGGAAATCCCATGAGATGTCCTCTCCATAAAATACTCAACCATGCCCTTTCTCAACGCAGTGTCACCTACGTGCTGCATGTTAAAGATACCCAACTTTTTATCACCTCTTGAGGTGAGGGGGGGGGGCGAGCCCATCCTTTTCACACTGTCACTAAATGCACTTTACCACCCTGTGACCAGAAGAAAGCGAACATCTAGCAAGTCAACACATAGATTACTATTTCATCTATGCTCCTTCACATGAAAACACTTAAATGAAGACAAGATTTTCTTAGTCTTTTCCACAGTTGAAGTTTTGGTATTGTGAATAGTCATTCATATAGCATGAATAGTACAAGAACAGGAAGAGGATAGTACCGAGGTGTTACTCTATCTACAATGTTGGTTTTTTTCTGATCACAGGGTGTCTAGCAACTCGCACAAGAACTGTGAGTGCGCGCCCACTCCACCCCATCTATTACGGACCACCGGCACCGGGTCACGTAGAGGGCCCAGTCCCATAACGTGTTCCGGATCCCGGAGGTCAACTATATTGACAAACCTCACGGACCGGTGGGCTGGTTCTGAGAGATCGAAACCCCTTGGACCACCGCATCCTGTCGATTGGTGAGATATTAGCGATCAGCGCTATGCGGACTCACAGATGCAAGACAGGCAATTTGATTGTGGGTCCTGAGCTGAGTATTACAGGCCGACGAATCCATGCAGAGAGGGGTGGGAGTCCATCACCGCAATGGATGAATATCGTAGTTGTTGATAACGGCGATTCTTCCAAACACCTGAAAGGCTGGTTCTCGCGGCCATGGTTCTGTCCAGAATGTGCTCCAAGTAGGTTGAAGACCGTCAGCTATGGCAATCAGGGCCGGTCACAGGTAATCCATAACACTGTTCGGCTGCCGGCGGAATCAGACCTCAGCAGGGACACGGGGCCGATTCGGCTCGTATCATGCTCGGACGCAGTCGGCAAGTGGTCCATTTGATTGATTTGATAGACAAAAGTGAGACGTGGGGATAAACTGATATAGCTGAATTTGGAATCTATTCATCTGGAAGCAACTGCCGCAAACTCTTAAGTGTGCTCGAACCAGCTGAAAGTCAGGTGATCCGTCCGCTGTGTCACATGAACCGGATATATAATGCTCACCATCCAGCTTCAACGGCTTTGGGTCTCGAATCTCGGACATGGAATCCTGCAACCACCTCGAAATGGATTACGGACCCTTTAACGGATCTGTAGAACGGACTATCCCAGCTTACCTGGTTGATTAGTACAAAGCATGGATGGGGCTCCCCAGGTCCGTCGCTTTCAACGAGAGAGCCTCCGTTTCTTGGTGGTCTCAGGGCTGAGACGCTCTTGGTAGGAGAGTCGGCATGTCTTACTCGAAAACCACCACTGGAGGTCGTCGCGCCACTCCACCTCAGACCAACTTTCGCAATCTGATACAATTGGTTGTTCTTTGGCCAAGATGGCGTTCCCTATGCAAGGCCCGTCACCAGTCAACCTGAACCCTAACCACAGCGTAGAAGTCGGGTCGATATTCACAGCTCTTTGTAAGGAGTCAAGTCGGATTTGACCAACACAAGCTGAGGTTCCGTCGGCATAGCGAAGTAGAAGTCCAATAAGGATTGATTTGCCCATGCGTTGGCGACGGCACGGGGCAATCTCAACCACGTCCTTAAGCCTGGCTCTGTTCCAGGCGTAATACTCGTCATGACGAGAGAGAGGATATGGGGTTGGCCACTCGACTGCTGGTTCCTGACCTCGATATCTAGGTCGATGTGATTGAAAGCCTAGTCTTCGTACACCACAAGCCGTCGTCTCAGCGTAATTGTGGCTTGTGGCCTTGCTAGGCAGGTCAAGAGTCCACTTAGATCGGCTCCAGTGTGGCCGTGGCTGCACTCCTAGACAGGTGGAACGTCCTTGATCCGTTACGAGCTGTGCATTGTGAGCAGACTTCAACATGGAATATGAACGGATCAACACATACTAGTAAGCCGATTGCGGTCCTCAGCTCGCCCTCGAATTTACCATACTTTGTTGGATTGACGACTGTGTCTGCATGAGGGGATGCTAGAAATGCATTGAATAATATGCAACAACCGGTTATGATAGGTAAATACAAGACAGAACCCCCCTCGGACCGGGATGGGACGGAATCCCTCAATGAAGCACAACAATCACCCTTTGATCGATGACCTCAGTGGTATTGCATTAAATCAACATCTTTTATCTAACAAACATTGCTCTTCTGGTACTATTGCATTGTTTCGGGGCTTAGGCGTCCCTGGTGGGATAGTTGACATTGTCTTTCAGAATACCACCACTCGAGGCCACCGCACCAATCCACCCGAAACCAGATTTCGCGTTTCGATAGGGATGGTGCTTCCCGTAACTGCTCGATACCAGATACGATAGGCCCATCGCTCGTGAGAGAGAATTTGAACCACATCTTGCAATCACGATCAACGCAAATAGGGTTCTGCAGTCGATCTAGCCTTATTTGTCCGACACATGCTTGCTGTCCGTCAATATAACGAAGTAGAAGCCCGCTGATGATTTCACTTCCTTGCCGGCAGCGTCGACATGGAATGATATCCACGACGTCGTCGAGCTTCGCGCTGGTCCAAGCGAAGTATTCATGGCGGCGGGACTTTGGATATGACGAGGTTGGCCACTCAACTCTGGGGCTTGGATTATGATCATCAGGCCTGGGTGACTCGAAGCCCAATAAACTACCCAATGCCGTTTTCATTAAATATATCGTGCTAGGGCTTTTGGTGGGCCGGTCAAGCAGAGTCCATTTCGAGCGGCTCCAGCCTTGCTGTGGCTGCACCCCTAAATAACTCGAGCGCTCCTGGTTTGTGACCAACTCCACGATGTCAGAAATTCATTTGATGCAATATTAACATCGTAGGCCGAGACGTACCAACAAAGCGATTGCGCTGCGAAGAGAACCATCACACTTCCAGATTTCTGTCACCACTTCATCCACGCGAAGTGGCATATAGAACCATAGAGCAGATTCGTCCATGGTTCTCAGCTCATGGTAGAAGTCGAAATTTTCGCCGGTAGTGTGTGCGTGCAGTGTCAAAATACTTTGGTTCCAGCAAAGCGAATAGGCCGTGGTAGTAGGATGGTTGCATGGCACTACCGACATGCGATAGGTTAATTCGGCGTTGCAAAGGGGTTCTAGGCGAAGGTGTTTATACACTGCTTGAGGTAAGCCCCAGGCAACTTGTGGTAATTGCAAGCTCTCGCCTGCAATTACGCGCATTTTCGAGCCCTAGCCACCCAAGTTAGATACTGTCAAGAATCTCCTTATCCCGAATGCTTGCTTTGCGCACATCACCTCGGGTTCGAATGAACCTGCCCAGACTACCAAGGCATATTGTTTTCCACCAGACATCCGGCTCTTGGATGATCGCAGGTTTGCTTGACGAATTGACAAATAACAACTGTCGAATGCCAAGGTGATCACTAGAAACGTACAACCTTACAGCTGGTGTCTGCGACAGTGGGTCAAACAACAGTATATCTCTATTGTTGGTGGCTGCATTTGTCAATCGCGCAATGTATCGGGTGCCCTCGAAGTATGCGTATCGAACATATATTTTCTTCGAAAGTGTGACTTGCGATACGTTTCTCGCGAACTCACCGCACTTTCTCTCGGCATACCAAACGGCCATTCGACGGCTGGTCTCTTGATCAAGAGCCCGAACTGCGATGTCGCTGCAGACTTCCGGAGGAAAGCGGGAGTGCGTCGCCCTTCTGATTATCGAGGCGAGCCAGGACAGTAACCAGCGGGAACGCTGGCAGTTCGCTGTATGTGATGATTCAAAGTCGGGTGCTGTCACTTCGTAGATCTGTGAAAAGGTCTCAATGGATATTGAACTGTAGCAGTCAAGGTGACAGCCAATCCTCTTCTCGTCGTGATGGCATTTCCCGCGACACTGAACATACTCAATTCCTCGAGAGCTGTCGGGAAAGCCTACTACACTGTATGAGAACGGTTGAGATCGCTCAGCGCCGTCTCTCCACACTAGATCCATCAGAACTCTGATATAGAAGAGAAAAGAGCTACTTTACCGGCGACGATTGTCTCGTCTAGGACGATCTGGTACCGGCAAAGGCCACAAGACTGCGGAACGCAGACAGACTTCATTGGGATCTTGAGGCGTGACTTGAGAACAGGGATCCAGCAGAATGATTTGATTTGATTTGATTTGATTTGATTGATTCCTACTCGGTTTTGGCCGCTTTAGTCAGCAGCTATGCCCGGATAGCGGGGTTTGGCCAACAGCCGACGCGCTCCGGACGTTAATCCGCAGCGCCCCACTTCGCCAGTGCAAAACACCGACCAGCCGTCTCCAAATCTCCCACTTTGCTCTCCAACCTCATCTACCCCTGGCGGCCACCAAGTGTAGTTTGCGGTTCTCTACTAATGTACACGTGTGTCTAGGCTCTATTGAGGTCTTTCTCCTCGTACAACGGTTCAGCGTACCTACAGTCTCCCCCCAATGCTCAGCTTAGTCTGGTGTGCGACTCGATCCCGTGTTGCCCAAGGATCTCGGTCTGTTCTATGAATCGGATTGCCCTGGCGGCTGCTTTGCGCTTGTTCAGTATGACCCGGAGATTGTGTCGTCCTGGGAGGGTTCCGAATGCCTGGCGCCGGAGTTGTCGAAACCTGCGGCATCGCAGCAGGATGTGCGACACCGTTTGTCGTCCCTCCCGGCATGGGCAGTTGGCGTTGGTGATGCCCGGTACTCTTCGGTTGAAGAGGAAGTCCTGGAGCCCGATCTTTTCCGTGCGCATCTGGACCAGGAGTGCGCTCTGGCGTTTACTGAGGCCTTCGTGGAGGCCGAGGACCTTCTTTGTCGGCTTCGGCGTGAGACGGAACGATGTTCTCCCTCGCGTCTCGGTTTCCCAGTTGGTTTGCCACACGTGGTGGGTTTGTTTGTGCGACCATGTCTTGACTGTCGACCTGAGTTTGAACAAGGCTCTCGGCTTGTCTGCCCTGGGACCTGTCTGTCCGTCTGGCCTCCATCCCGTCGCCTCCTTGGCGGCGATGTCTGCTGCTTCGTTGCCCTGGATGCCGATGTGGGCTGGCACCCACCGGAGCTCGACTTCGAGTCCCTGTTCTCGGAGG